CTTTCGAATTTCGAATTAAACTAGTTTCGACCGCAAAGGGTTAACAGTCTTTTAAATATAAACCAGTCTGATACTATTACTATAGAATACTATACAATTACTTCGAAAAATGGTATAGCAATTTTTAGTGGTAGCAATATTTAATACTTTGAAGTCACATATCAATTTGTCTTGCTTTTCTAATTTAATTGTACTTTCGGCTAGAATGTGGCGATAGTCAAAGAATGGGTATTATATAACGTTCCACACGTGGTGCCACATCCACCGCAAAGTCACGATTTAAACCCCATTGAACATTTATGGGATGAAGTAGAAAGACGATTAAGAAATACGGTTATTACTTCGAAAGAAGCGTTAAAACGAAATATTATCGAAATATGGCAATCGATAGATGCAAATGTTACTTCTAAGTTGGTCCACTCAATGGAAAACAGACTTAGGGCTGTTATAAAAGCAAAAGGTGGATCGACTTCCTATTAAAACCTTTAATCGTTCAATTTAAATAACTATTAATTGTTTCGTTCGAATACTTTTGCGAGCCATTTCTGGTACGTGTTTACGATAAATGTACTGTAAAAACGCTATATATCGTTGAATTATTTTCTAATTTTGCTTACGCAGCCTTAAGTCCCATCCCTTGTTATATGTGTCATATTATATCAAATGCTTCGGTTTAACACATATATTTTATCAATTGAATGTTAGAAACGTAAGTGTTCGAATACTTTCGTGTATGAGTGTACATATAGTTCTACCCGATTCGATCAGATCTCTTCTCGATCCTCTCGAGTTCTCGTAGGTCTCTGGTAGATAGGGAACAGAGCTCGGAAGTTCTGTTCGATGCGGGCAGAAATTTTTCGAAGGCGGCACGAAAGCGACTCTCCGGGAATTCGTCGGACGCCGCCTGACGTCATCCTCGTGCCAGACTGGAGAACGGAGGTCACGTGTCACGGCGTCAGACGAAAACTCGATACCGGGTCCGGGCAGGCACTCTAGGCACACGGCTCGGGCCGCCGCGGGCCGCCGAGGGCCGCCGAGCCGCGCGCGGACCGCGCGCCGCCGTGGCCAATAAGCGTCCGAAGGACTCTCTCCAGCGCGGCAAGCGTTCTTGATCGCGTCAGTCGACCCGTAACCGTCGAACAGCGTTCATCGTGCGACTCTCGTCGAGTGATCCTTTCGCGAGCTAACCGAATCGCCGAGCCGCCGAGACACTCTTTTAACTTTCTTCCCCTCGGACGTTTTCTTGTTTTGTTTCTCTCTTCGCTGTCGGTGGAACGAGTACAGGTACTCGCGCGATGGCTTCCCACAGAGCTGCTAAGTCGGGTTTCGCAGCAGAAGCCCAGAGGAAGGTAAGAAGATAGAATACCTGTTTCCTTATTTCCCTCCTGTGCCCCCACCACCACCCCCCTCCCCCCCGTTCCTTCCTCGGCTGTTTTCCTTCGGGACTCGTTTCGTTTGCCACCCAGTGACCCAGTGACGACCGACCATCCCCCGAGGGACTCGACCTACTCAGGGTGACGCGCATGCGCACTCCCGGTGGTTCATTGTACCTGGATTCGTGTCGGATGCACAAGATGCTCCCGAGGGTTGATCGATGCGATATAATGGAGTGTGAGATTTTGTTCGACGGCTAACGTTCATTCGTTCGGGATAGAAAACGAATTTGTATTCGAGGAACCATATTCGAACCAGACGAATAACTCGTCCACTATCTTATTTTCGATTTCAAGTTCCCATAAGGAAAAATCTATTTCGATTTGCCCGCCGTGGCAACTGAGTGATCTTAATGGGCATAGTCGTTGCTATGATGGATTTAATAGTTAATGAGAAGATCGTGGAAACGTACGAAGTCTGTCTCGTTTAATATTCACCGGAAACGAAAGATGCATACGAGCCGTTTATTTCGAAAGTGGCACGAGTCACTTGACCGTAATGAATAGTGGTGATTTTTTTTAATGTTTATACGAAATTATTTATACCGAGAAAAATGTCAGTATCCCGAGATAACAAATACAAGTAGATCTTCTCGAAAGTTAGCATCCATATTTTTAAACGTGTTCAAACGCGAACCGTTAACATATATCGACTTAAAAACAAAGTGACTTATGCCACTTTCGAAATAAACGGCTCATATAAGCTCTGCCTGGTATAGTTTCTATTCCATTTCGAATTTGTCCTCCGTCATTCAGAAATCGAGCGTCGACAGAGAAATGCCACTTGGCAATTCCATGTAATCTTGAAAAAGCCAGGAATGCGCGTGTTTGAGTCTCGATGTACGTGCCGCACAGACGTTTATGTTACACGTATACTGTGACACTTCTCCAAGCAATCTCGTAGGCAATGTAATATGCACAGTGTATAACATGAAGCGGTCACGTCCGTGAAAATTCTTTTTCATCTGTCCCCGGTCGTTGAATCGACGTCGTGATAATAGACAATTATTTGTAGATATTTTTGATTTAGGAAAATGAAAGAGAATCAATTTCCGAGTGTTTATATTAGGTCTGACTGAAAGTTCTGACTGATAATGTCATTGCAAATTTCGATAGCTATGCACGTGTTCATTCGAGACATATATTTTTGAAAAATGTCGCTCACAAATAAATATTACTAAATAATATTACTAAATAAAATAATACTACTAAATTTATGAAAAATCTATTATTTCCTTTCATTTCTTAAACGAACAGAACTTTCCGGTAGACCTAATAGCTTCGCGAAGCTTGCCTAAAGACAACTGAAATTATGCAATACAAAAGTGAACATTAAAAAAAGGAACGAACGTTGACACTTTCTAAATTTTTCTACGTTATTTCTTCGTAGCTTTCTCTGAACTTTTCCTCTAGCTTTTTATTCTTCATAAAAGCTTTCGAACTCGTTGAATATTACGCGGATAATTGAATATTCTTATTTTTGAGAAGCAGTAAACGCCGAGAGCGCATAGATATTGTAAAAGCTAGTACAAACATGTACTTGTTTGGTACGCGCTTTACAAACGTAAAGCTGATAAGCCGAAATCGTGCAAATAATTCGCAGAAGATTATCAAGGTTTTTGCAGGCGTGTCCCCTTCGAGACACCTGAAAATATATCGCGTGCCCACCTTGATTTTGCTCGCAAGTTCACCGGGCAACAGCTGCCAGCCGGTCCTTCCTTTCGGTCGAGGAATTCAAATGAAATTCACTGTTGCCAAAGAAGGGAGCGTCTCTCGCGAAACCCGCTGGCCATGGTACATTTCTTTACTGCAATCGCATCGCGAATGCCCCTCTAGTGTTCCCAAAGTATTACGATAGATCGCGCAACGATTACAAAACGCGATCTCTCTTTAAAAGTTCAAGATTAATTTAGTTTGCGATCGCGTTCCCCGTCCGAATACATTGAAATTCTACTTGTTCGTGTCTCCCCCCCCCCCTCCCAGTGATTCGTACCTTTGTAATCTCGTTACCGTAAACAAATGGAAACGCGGCACGTCGATTTGAAAATTTCTGCTCTCTGTCGTTGGCGAATACTCGTTTGCTTTCGTGTTTATCGACAATACGAGACGCGTTGTCTCTTTCACCCCGCTTCGCTCATTCTATTGGGTTGGCAACTAAGTAATTGCCGATTTGTTCAATGAAATAAAAAATTCTTTTTTACTTGGAACGAAGTTCAATCTGTAATGTATTTTCCATTTTGTTCGATGACCTTTTGTAATGTTATTTCTGAGAATGTTATTTCTAAGCTAATGCTATTTGCCATGCTATTTCTAAGAATAACAATATTATAAGAAACGTGGAAATTGCAAAAACTTTGCGAATTGGAATGCCAAGTTCTATTCGGTGCTTCCCATTTTCCAAATTTGTCTCGTAATATTGTCTTTTCTCTAGATTCATGGTCGTTGTATAATAATATACATACATTATAAAAAGTGTATTCTATTGGGTTGGCAACTAAGTAATCGCCGATTTGTTCAATGAAATAGAAGATTATTTTTTACTTGGAACGAAGTTCAATCTGTAATGTATTTTCCATTTTGTTCGATGACCTTTTGCCATGTTATTTCTAAGCTAATGCTATTTGCCATGCTATTTCTAAGAATAACAATATTGTAAGAAACGTGGAAATTGCAAAAACTTTGCGAATTGGAATGCCACGTTCTATTC